AAAATGTAAAAAATAAATAATATACTCTTACTACAAATAATTTTATTATATAATATTCCACACTATAATGATCACTTTATATCTAATAACGTGATTGCATTTCTTTTCTTGTAAATGACATTTACATGCAAGGTAGTGTTTTGATTCAAACAAGGTTGAACAAGGGAGAACATGTTTTTATTTTTTCTTTGTTTTTTTTTTTTCTGAGTGTCACTGTGAAACCCAGAGGAGCTGTGAACTGTAATGCAGTGATCCTCAGGATCTTATGAATGCATACATTCAGCACTAAAGCTGTCTCAGTGTGCAGGTCAGCTGATGACTGACTTTTGAGGGTCTCTAGTAGGGATTCTCCGATCCGCCTTTTTCGCCTCCGATACCGATTCCGATACCTAGGGTTCGGTATTGGCCGATACCGATCCGATACCAGTGAAGTTTTTTCCCCTCATTTAAATAAATGTAGAATTTACATATCTCTGTGTGTGGAACTGATAATCATTCTTTCACAATCTACTAGATACAGAATACTTCATTATAAAGAAAAATAAACAAATATGAAAAAATATAGGCCTATGTATATTTATTTTCTTTTATTATATTGTCTTTCGGATGAGACGTTAAACCGAGGTCCTGACTCTCTGTGGTCATTAAAAAAAATCCCATGGCACTTCTCGTAAAGAGTAGGGGTGTAACCCCGGTGTCCTGGCCAAATTGCCCCCCTGGCCTTTGTCAACCATGGCCTCCAAATAATCTCCAACCACTTGATTGGCTCTATGACTCTCTCTCCTCTCCACCTGTATCTGGTGTGTGGTGAGTGCACTGGCGCCGCTGTCCTGTGGCTGCCGAAAAACATTCATGAATGTATTTATATATAAGTATATACTATAAAATTAAAATACATTTCTTTTGAATGTATAGCATATTTTTTAATAAGGCAACAACATATTATAGATACGATAGGACAAAACAAATACAGTGCAGCACGAACTGTTTTTATACAGTCTATGAGCACGAAGCGCTTACAATGTTCGCACATTGTAAGCACTTCGTGTTAAAAACTGCAAAGCACAAAGGGAAGAGAAATTGATGCGTAATTTATTATATCTGTGAAAGTATTATTGTTTTAAATTTCAGTTACTGTGCACGTTAAAAACAATTTATAGTCTTTTCTACGCCCGTGTTTTGTTCTCACAGACACCCGGTAGCAAGTAACAAAACAACATTAAACTCCGGCAAGAAGATAAAGTCATTTTTGCACAATCATAGACATGTATTTACAAATCAAGTATAATGGGAACACAGAATGATCTTGGAGAGCTTTACCGAGCTGACTGCTGTAACCGAACGCGACCAGGGTTTAAAGGCTGAACGAATGATTGACAGCCACAGCGGAGAAAAGATTAAATATTCATATGTAGCTCACTTTAAGCTATCGTATGGCTTCAGAAGTAACACAGAATAGTTCGCACAATCGGGGAAAAAAAAAATAAAAATCTCGGATTTGGATCGGCCTTCTCTGACCGATACCCGATCCGAGAAAAATGGCACTATCGGAGACGATACCCGATATGAATATCGGATCGGCGCATCCCTAGTCTCTAGGGAGGGTGGATTGGACCCCATCATCATAAAGTGCATCAGAGCAGAGCACAGGAAGAAGATGTGTCATCACTCCTTCCTGACACAGTGCAGACGGTTGGGCAGCAGTGCTATCTGCATGTGTGTGGTGAGAGAGTGTGCTTTTCTCCGTCTTATGTACAAATAAGGCAAAAAGGGACAGATGGCACACGCTGAGATAGTACCCTGCTCCATTACTTTGTGTGCTTCTATTGTGTGTGTATTAACACACTCGCACATCTCTAATCCCGTTTTTGCCACCATTTCAGCTGTGACTGACTGGGGCATCTTTGTTTTGGATTTATTAGTTTGTGGCATCATTTTATTGCACTTCTGCTAACTAGAAGACGGAAAGTGCCTAAAACTTTTTTTTTTTTTTTTGTAGTAGTAATAGAAAATGGCCCCCTTTGCACCATTTTCTTTAAATGTAAATGGTGTTTTTGATATTCATGCTAAATACACACAAATATGTAAATGACTCTGGCAATGGCTCTGAAACAAAAATGTTACACAAACGCTCTGAAACAGGAAGTGGGCTGAGGGTTGTCTTTCACTCAGGGTGTGTTGTGACTTTATCAGATAACGTTTAATCATGTTGGCTTCTCGTTTTACTGCATAGCACTGGCTAATACATAGTGAATGGTTCTTTCTTTGTTGACTACTAGGGGATGACCACATTATACATTATACATTATACATTGTACAATAATACACTTCACAAGCCTGTGCAGACCACACATTGCACTTCCTTTTGCGACACATGCTATGAAAGGTCTCAATGCAAATGCAGAACAGAGTTACTTTTATGTGTTTTGAAAATTTTAATATTTTACATTGTATATCTATTGAAAGCATCTTTTCACAGCAAAACTGGAATGAAAACAAAAATGTTGTTGGTGTTGGTGCGTGTGTGATCTAAAGAATTACGAAAAACGATAAAAAAAGTGATATGTATAGTTTTATGTTGGCTTTTCATTTTACTGCACACACACACACATACATACATACATACATACATACATACATACATACATACATACATATATAAAAATGAAAATCCTTACTCTGAGCCCTGAAACTGCTACCTCTCATAAAACATTCACTTGTTTTTGAGTGTTAAAAATTGTTTTTAATCGGTGGGTGTTTGACTTAAATTAAAACAAAATCAAATCAAATTTGTCCATAAACTATTTGTTTTTAATATTGTCCCTTTTCTTGCTTATCGACAATTGTCCATGTGTGTTATTTTGATCAGTAACTGTCCGACAGCGCAAAATAGTTTTACCGTTTACTGCACTTTGCTATTCTTCTAGTTAATTACCTATAGCAGCCAATGAATCACAAATTAGCTCACTTTCGCACTGAAAAATGAGGTGGATAATCTTAAGCAAATAATTAATGAAAAGATGCAGTAATTCAAAAGCATTTGTTAGTACCTGATACTGATAATGTTCTTCTCTGATTCTGTTTTTAAGCAAATATTATCATGTTGAGGCTGAGAGGTTGTAATCTCATTTCCGGGCTTTGATAGTATGTGAGTGAGAGCATGAAGTCCCTCTCGATAATGGCTGTAATTTGTGAAAAGTGGTGTTAATGGGTGTCTGGTGTGTTATAATGGTCATTACTGATACTTGCTCTGCCTGTCTGAGCCAAGCAAATAATTTTACTTTAAATTTTTTTTTACTACTAGTCTAGAGATACAACAACAGTGGGCATAAGTGTGTGCCGTTATACCAGCAGATTTGTTTGCGATTGAAGCTCTAGATTTCCATGAAAGAGACGAGTATAGATGCTGTGAAGGTGGAGAGCTGTTCTTGGCTTTCTGACAGACCTGAGCAGTTACATAAAAACCTGTCAGTTCAGCAGATGATTCTCATAGTTCTCATAGTTAGTTCACTGCATTAACATTTTCGACTCTCTGTGGGTCTGTTTTCAGAGTCTTTTGTTGCTGCTTCAGTGTTGTGCAGATGTGTCCCAAACCAGGACCCTGTCATTAGCATTTAGTCTGAAATCTATCATAAACGCTTGGTTCTTAAGTTCCCAATCTTTCCTGTGCATAATTTGGTGGCCTGTTCAGGCTGGCAGCTGTTTTGATTTTAAGCGCTACCGAATATTTGGTGCAGAGTTGACCGTGGGACATGGGCTTGTGTAATGTAATGTCATATTGTAGCTTTAGACCGGCTGAAACCGAAAGAGTGTTTGTGCGTGCAGGCCAGGGTCTTTATTTCAAAGGCTGATTGAGTTAGAAATGTTCACCAGGCTTCATTGATCCCTCTTCATGCATTTCTGTGTGTGTGGGTTAGGGATGTTCATTTCGGTTATTTTTCCTAACCAACAACCGTAGTTTCTTCCACTGTTAGAAGGAAAAAATTCAAGTGATTGCGCTGGCGCCGCACAGTTAAGCATTGCTACCTTGACAATGCAGCTTGTTCATTATCATAATAAAATACAGTCAGTCAAACATATGGAAAAAAACACACTGCTCAGTTTAAATATGTAGTAAAGTCTGTGCCGTTAAGCGTTATCACCGTACTGCCGTGATGTTATGCAAAACACTTTGTTTTACGTGGATATTGGAACGCCAGTGAAGTAGGCTACATAATAAATAATAATTTACCATTCAAATACATCGCGAATACGAAAACATTTGATTTTGTGTGGAATGGGAGAGTCAACGTTGGTTTCAGTTTCGTTTTAGCCTAAATTAATTCGTTTTGGCTTGTCGTTTATATCGCAGTAGCTTCTTATATTTTTAATTCTTGTTCTTTTCTAAATACTGTTAATTGAAAGGATTTGTTGTGGAGTGAGGGGAACTAAAATAGCCTAGCTATGTTTACAGTGTTTATTATAATGTTTGTAAACTTTTCGCGTCGGCATTAGGCCTATTTCTGAATTAAATAATAAAATGCGACTTTGTACTCGCTTGCGTTTTTTTCCCCCATAAAAAAAAACAAATTTTTTTAATATAGGCTACGCGTAGCGTATTTTAACCATGCAGCAAACCTTTTTAAATATTTTGATAAATTACTGAAAAAAAAAAAAAAATGACTTTTTAAACCGTTTAACTAATCGGTCAAAAATTTTTACGGTCGGTTAACGGTTAACCATTTAAAATGAACATCCCTTGTGTGGGTACACAGAAAAAAGGTGCTTGTAAGAGCATACGGCCAGATGGAGGGATCTAGGAGGGACTGGAGGAAGTAGTTTGAAAGGAAACATTTTTGGAGTTTGTCAGGTTAAAAGGACAGTAGTGATGGTGGATGGATGATGTGCAGGATTATGCTGTGGTGTTCACGAGGCTCTGCCTGAAAAAGTGTTTTCATGGGTAACCTGTCTTAGGACCACTGGCTTCATTTTCTTCTTTTTTTTTTGCTTTTTGTTTCCAGGACAACAGGAACACATCTGATGACAAGCCCGTTCAGCGTTCTAAGGTATGTCACTTTATGTTCACATCCTTCTCGTCTTCTTATTTTTTCCAATCATATCTAACACTCCCTCTGTTTCCAGATTTGATATTGTGCAGTAAAGCAATCAGTTTTGTTCCTCCATGGGGTTTTGAACACAATTCAATGTTCAAAACCATTTATTATCTTATGCATATTATTTTATAAGATGAAATAAATGCATATTTAATAATGCATAATATGTATTCATTTTGAAATATGTGGTGATATTAGAGTATTTACTTATCTAGAATATAACTGTAAGATAGGATAGTTGCTTATGAGGACAGATAAAGCTCCAAAAATAATTAAAGTACCTTAATATAAGTATTTATGACTTGTGCACGGTGTTAAGTCAAGATTCTGAAGTCATTTAGTGATATTTTGATTTGTTCTTTGATTGAAAACAAATGTTTTACCTGTGCTTCCTACCAGTCTTTCAGTTTCAAGACACAGAAGGAGACGTGTGCATCATGTGAGAACACTGTATATCCGATGGAGAGATTGGTGGCCAACAACCTCATCTTCCACAACACGTGCTTCTGCTGCAAGCATTGCAACACCAAACTCAGGTTAGTCACTTTCTCACCAGCACAGCCTAAGAAAATGCCAAAAACTAGAGCAGTTAAACGTGTGTTGTACACTGAAAGAAGTCTTCTTTTGAAAGAAATCCTTTTTCTCACCAAGGGTGCATGTATCTGATCAAAATACAGTGCAAATAGTAATATTGTGAAATATTGTTATAATTTAAAATAACTGTTTTCTATTTGAATATATTTTAAAATGTAATTTTTTCCTGTGATGGCAAAGCTGAATTTTCAGCAGTCGTTACTTCAGTCTTCAGTATCACATGATCCTTCAGAATTCATTCTAATATGCTGATTTGGTGAGGAAAATATACTTTTTTTTTTCCAGGGTGCTCTGATGAATAGAAAGTTCAAAAGAACAGCATTGATTTGTAATAGTGAAGACATTTATAATGTTACAAAAGATTTGTCACTTGACTGTCAATTTAATGCAATAATGCGTTTATTATTTTTGATGTATTCCTAACGTTATCTCTTGGCTTCTGCGCTCTGTAGTCTGGGGTCCTATGCAGCGCTGCAGGGGGAGTTCTACTGCAAACCACACTTCCAGCAGCTCTTCAAGAGTAAAGGGAACTACGACGAGGGCTTCGGACGCAAGCAGCATAAGGAGCTTTGGGCCTCCAAGGATGCGGAGAGCATCACCAAGACGGCATAATCCTCAGTGATTTTCAAAGCACATTTCCCCTCCATTGGTCAACGATGATGACCCTTTATATACTCTGCCCACGTCAACAGACACACTTACACAGCCAACAAGCAGTTGAGCCAGGCTTATCATGATATAACAACACAATCACAGATATACCACCATGTGATAGGGTTGATTAGCTTCCCCTTTTTGTTTGTTGTTCTTTATTTTTTATTTTATTTTAATTTAGTCCTCCCACCCTACCTTCTTTGCTTAGTTTTAATTTTTATTTAGCATTTTGTGTTTGTCATTTTTTGTAGTGTTGTGGAGTGAACAGTTAGTTGATTGTGACCAAAATCTTTTGTATCCCTATAGGTGGGATGATTCACTTACTAGCATCATTACGATACTGTTTGGCAGTACTAGTATCAGTTGATTTTGTTGGTTTTCTGTCGTAAGAAGTTTCAAGATGGTTTAGATTATACACTCAGGTAAATATTCTGGGTTGTTGCATCAATATTATTCAGCAATCTTTTATGTACGTAGTGAACTTAAATGTTTTGTTTTATGATTGATATTTGTCCCTCACTTCAGTTACAGCAGTCTGTACTGTTTTCCAACTAAATGGCTTAACAGAGTTCCTTAAAATGGGAAAACTGTCTTTTATTTTGTCTGCTTTGCTAGCGCAGGGTATTTTATCTGAGAATCTACAGGGTACACTGTACTGTAAAGAACTCACTTGAGTTTTTTACATCACCTCTTTTCATTCATTTTTCATCCATTTTTATCTTCTTTTAACATTAAGAATTGGTATTTGACAGATACTGTAAGACAGGCCTCTGTGATCTAATCAGACAATATCATTCTTATTAAAGGGGTAGTTCACCCAAAAATGAATATTCTGTCATTAATTACTCACCCTCATTTCGTTCCAAACCCACAAAACCTTCGTTCAAGGGAACTACCACGTTCAAGGCACAGAAACGTAATAAAAAAAAAAAAAAAAAAAGTTGCGTTTGAACCACTGATGCCACATGGCCTATTTTAACAATGTTTTTACTACGTTTCTGGGCCTTGAACGTGGTAGTTCCCTTGCGGTCTGCAGGGTCAGAAAGCTCTCAGATTTCATAAAAAATATCTTAATTTGTGTTCTGAAGATGAATGAAGGTCTTATGTGTTTGGAACGACATGAGGGTAATTAATGACAGAATTTTCATTTTTTTGTGGAACTATCCCTTTAAGCATCAGTATCTTTTACCAAATGTAGTTGTAAACACAATATTTGCTTGGAGTATTTGAGTTTATATTCCCTTTACTGAATATTAATCACTCTGAGTTAATTTGATTACGAATTAAAATTTAAACTTTTGAAACTTAGACGCAGTCTTATACCAGCCATCTTTCTGGCGCCCTCTAGTGTTTTGGATGATATTTCTTATTTGACCTAATGTTGGTTATTCTCTGCCATCTTTTGATGCCATCTAGTGATATCTATGCTAATTTGATCAAACATAAATATTCCTTATGTCTTATTTTAGTCATATTTTTCAGCAGACTGCACGTCATAATTTTTTTATTTAATAAAGTTTTTTTTTTTATATTGTTGCTCAGTGATTTCTTGCAAAGGCATTTGTACATAAGTACCACTTAGCAGAGTGAATGCACTGTGTTGCACTGTACTGTACTTATGCCTTGCTGCATGGGACCAAGCTTGTATGACAAATTAAGATATTCACAGGGAACTAGGTCTCAGAGGAAATTACATTTATGATGCTTCGCACC